TTCCCGTCCGCTACTGACTCCGAGCACCAAACGTGCTTAGGGAGTCTGAACTACGAATGTACTCTATTTCTACTAACAGTGCCTCAATCCTTCCCGCCCAACCGGCACGTTTTTCGGAAAACTCAAACTCACCCGCTCCCGGAATAGCTCGGTACGTCCCAGGTACTACTGTTTTTTTCCAGGTACCGGTTCAGTCCCACGTTTTTTTCGGAAGTCGGTAGTGATTCGTACCAGGTCAGTCTGAAAGCTACCGCCTGTCCTCCAACAGGTATGTAAAAACCCAGGTCCTCTAAAAACCCAATCATCCCCATCCTAAGTTCCTTACATTCTATCCACAACAGAGCAAATCAGCAATCCTTTTCCAAACTTTCTCCTTATCCCTACTGAAGTTGCGAATCGCCTGTCGAAACAACACATCAGGGTACTTCCTCCTTCGCAGTTCCAATCTCAGAACAATAACTGCTACAATCATACCAGGTGTCGAGCAAGAGTTCTGCCGAATCCTATGGAGGCAGCTCGTGATTGCTGCAACTTTCTCCTTCTTACCTGTCCACGATTCGAAATCTTGGATAGTTTGGAAGGCCAAGTCTCTCCCTTCCAGTAAATCATTTTCGTTCTTCATTGTTTGGTGGCAGCTCAAAAAGGGAAATTCATCCTCGACTCTCACACAACACCCCAGGAATTCCCATTCCCTCTTTCCCTCATCCGTTCGTTTCAGGTTTAGATTAGAGTCGTAGCACTTCTCGTACATACACAAAATCTCTTCTGCTCGACGTCTCGACTCCGGAACCCTCTTGTTACAGGCTACAAATACTGATGCGTCGTCAACAAACCGCATTCCTGCAACCAGCCTCTTCTGGCTACCTAATGTGAGCAAGAAATCCCATTCGGATTTTGCGCACATCAGGCACGCCAGGGGTGGACTGGAGGACTTCCCCATCGGGATCCCCACTGTCTGTCTCAGGATCAAACCTGAAGCAACAGTGAAACAATTCTTCAGATCGTACCTAACGTATTCCAGCACTACTGAAAACGCCACCAACCTATATCCATCAATTGCCCCACACTTACTCAACTTTGCACCCTTCCCCCTGTTCTTAACAAAAATTCCAAGAAAGCCTTTTGTTTCAAACCACCAAATACACCACTCAACAGCCCTTAGAATCCTCCCGTGCGTCAGCCTACTAAACATCTCCTTGATGTCGTAGGACGCACCCAAAATGCCTGTATTTGCACATCCTCTTCTCAAGAAACCGTTCATCCTACCCAATCTGGTAGTCATGAGGTGGACAGATTTCAGATTGAAATGTCCACTCTCAGGAAGATTGAAAAGCATTCCATTCAGCCCTTGCGAGATCTTCCGGCATAATCTGCTACCTGGTTCATCGAAGGTAGGGCAGATCGGCCGGAATTTCGAGGTATCCTTGTGCTTGGGCAACGCATACGCTCTACCCAGCTTTCCCCCTCTCTTCCAGCTCCCATACTTCAGAAAACCATGCTCTCGGTACTCTGTCCCCATCCTCTCAATGATCTCACTCTCCTCGTCCTTTTGAATCTCATATCCATCATTCGCGATGAAGGTGCTCCCCATCCCCAAGGCGTAGACCTCCGGGCACATGGCGAGCGTCTCCCCTGGATTTCTGTCTAGGGGAGTGCACATGTAACCGTCCAACCTGCGTTTCAGTTCAATCACTGATCTCATGTTACCTGCTTCCCTTCCCTTTGATTCATTGAAACAAGCTTTCACATCTTCATCGGTGATCTCAGTCTTACTAGTGTCAATATTCAACCAATCAATCCTGTGAATGGATGCTTTCACCTCCTCTTGAAGCCTCTTCACAGAATCTTCACTCCATTCCTTCGGGATGTTCCTCACATTCTTAGTGATGTCCGGGCAGCCCTCCCATGTACTCAACCGGAAATGGACATGTCCCTTTTCCTTTGGAAGGGACGAGTCAGTGCACATGCACCTAGCAACCCCACTCACCGCATATCTGCGATGATTGTGGATCATATCCCCGACGTTTGGACCCCTCGTCCACACTACTCGGGTGCGTTGCTTAGCCATTTCCTTCACGGCACAATCCAGAGGCAAACATCCAATCTTTCTTCTCACAAGCCTGATAACCTCCCCTTTCTTAATCCGATCATCAAACCTAACTTTAGTGATCACCCGACGATTAATCTTCACCCCAAACGTCATTTTCACAACATCATTAACCATCTTCTTCGCCTTCGATCGACTCTTCTTAGTTGAAAAAATCTTTGCAGCGGCATAATACTGAATAAGTTCACTACTTCGGAGTCGCTTCAATCTGTTTTTCTTTCTCCCACATTTGAACATCTTGACTAGCTCTCCTTTCAACTTCAGTGTTGTAGGTGATGCCTCAACAACATCTAGAATCTTCACGTAGCCTTCTCTCTCGAACAGTCTCTTGCACTTTCTAAATGGCCGGGTCCTCTTTCCCACATGCACCCTCGTCTCCCCGAATAACCTTCTTACTACATGCCAATTATCGGTCCATACCACCCCACCATTGCTCACCACCCTATACTCTTTCCCCTTACCATTCTTTGTCAGCATCCGTGGTAAGTTAACTATTCGCACCGTTTCGTCAGCCACTCCGTCGATTCGTAGTGCAAGAATTCTCGACTGTGCCGACTTCTCCTCCTCCTTTACCATGCTGTTAACAGGACTCATTCCTTTCTTACCCCTCGCTCGCCGTCGTTCCTTCTTTCCCCGTTGCTTTCTATTCTTGGTTCTCTTCTTCTTCAACCTGGTATTCAGCGATGGCGACCAGTTCTTTATCAACGATCTCTCGATTGCTTCGAGTTCCTTCCGGTCGTCGTTGAAAACCAGCGGCAGGGCGACATATTGTTCTATACCGACCTTGTTAAGCCATGTATACAAGTTCCTTCTACTCTTATCACCTTTCCTTCGCTTCGCGGCACCTGCTACGTGCTCTTTCCATCTTAGACTGAGCACCCTCTCTGTCATTCCGATGTACACCTGCTTGTACGAAGGTGATACTAGCGCGTATACACAGCTACCTGGTCTTGTCAGATCTAGAGCGTCTTCTGAACATGCGTCTCTCTAGTACTCCAGGAACTTACTACACCAAGGCACCTCCCCTCGCATCACCAAATCTATTAACCCCGCGCGCGCGCACTTCTCCTGCGACTCATCACAGCAACTCGTCCTCGATCTAAGGCTTCGGAGCGTACACATCTCTCTCCACACGCGCCTGACACATCAGTCCAAGTCCTCATCTTCCTCGTCGAACTCACTCTCTTCCTCGGCATCTTCGATGATCGGTTTGGATCGAAGAGATCGGGCCGCTCTCGGCACTTTCAGTGCGGCCTTCGGCGATTCAGGTAAAGGCAGATTGATCGGATCATATGCTTTCAGTCGCCTTCTAGTTACCAATCGCTTAATCGCCATGTCTCTGTTTGTATAGCTAATCTTCTCATTTCTGCAAGCTTCTTTTAACTCGTCAATGGTCAGCGCTTCGAACAGATCACGGCAATCCTCTTCGTATTTTTCCCGATCCCCTGGTCCGCATCCTGCGGGCACGTGCTTCATGCTGAGCGACAGCTTCCCAACGGGTTCCAGTATGGTAGACGCAGACACAGTTCTTCCTGCCTCACTGCTTTTTATCTCTTCGATTCTCTTCTTTGCTTCGGTTCCCAATTCCGGTCTAATGCCCCTAGCATCTGCCATAACTCCGGTCCTCTGGCCTTTCCTCGGAGTGGTCGAAGGTGGGCTCTCCATCGTGGCCTTCTCGGGATCCCTCCTCCTTTTGTCATTGATATTTATTCTAGCCGCCCTTCTTCGCAACAATATCAGTTCGGTGTCTTCCTCCTCCTCCGAGCTCGGCTGAATGGCGATCTCCCTCCTCAATCTTTCCTTCTCTTCCTCAACAGTCTCACCTCTTTCATTCACCTTCTCCTTCTTTCTCTCCTTTCTCTCCGGCGCCTGCCTCATACTTCCTCCCCATTCAACGCGCACCAGTCTCAGCAATCTTGCATCCCGTTGGTCTTCGTATCTCTTTCTCTCCTCCAATCGTTCTAGTCTCTTTCTCTCTCGCTCGAGGTGTATCTCTTTGGCTTGTCTCTCCTCCTGCTCTCTTGCTTCTTGCTCCTTTTTCGCTCGTCTCTCTTCCGCTAACTCCAGGAAGTATTCTCTCATTAACCTGTCTGTATATGTTGACCCACTTCTATTCGCTGAGCTATCCGCAGGTAAACTTCGCTGTTGCCCTTCTTGCATAGCGGTCGTTCTTCCTTGGCGTGGTCTCGGCGGTGGTGGAACGAATGTTACACCTCTTGCTTTCGCATCCTGATACTCCTCGCAAACGTTTGCGAAATGATCCGCCTCTCCGCACTTATAGCAGGTCTTACCTAACATCGGATGGACCCTCACGGCGGCCGGTGGTTGTCCTATACTCCCACCTCTTCCCGTCGTCCCACCCGAGCCACTTGACTGGCTCATCTTTCCTGAGTCGCTTCCTTGCCGTTAACACCACGTCTTAGTCTCCAAGCTTCTTTCCTTGACTTCTCGATGGTACTACTTCTTCCGCCACCCACTCCAGGTTCATCTCCTAGCAGGTTTCGGGACCGATCTCGAGCAATGAAAACATGTCACACTTGGTCACACAGTTTCGCGCAAACGTATATAACGCGAAGACAGCTCTTGGCTGTAAGCATATTAGCAAACACAAAACGAAAGTAAATCGTCCGTAGCYGAGTAGCCCGTGACAACTTCGTGAAGATCGAGCTAAATGCCAGTGCGGACACATCCGTCCTTCACGCGACCGTGGCAACCACGAGAACGTAGCGCCCCACCCTCCGTTCCCGTCCGCTACTGACTCCGAGCACCAAACGTGCTTAGGGAGTCTGAACTACGAATGTACTCTATTTCTACTAACAGTGCCTCAATCCTTCCCCCCCAACCGGCACGTTTTTCAGAAAACTCAAACTCACCCGCTCCCGGAATAGCTCGGTACGTCCCAGGTACTACTGTTTTTTTCCAGGTACCGGTTCAGTCCCACATTTTTTTCGGAAGTCGGTAGTGATTCGTACCAGGTCAGTCTGAAAGCTACCGCCTGTCCTCCAACAGGTACGTAAAAACCCAGGTCATCTAAATAGAAATTGAATTTTCAGAGGGAAAGAAATTGTTTTTTTTTAGGGAAACAAATCGAAAATTTTCAGGGTTGTAAAAAAAAAAAATTAAGGGGGAAGAAATCGAAAATTTTGCAGGTTAAATTTTTGGTGGAAAAGAAACTAAATTTTTTGAGGAGAAAGAAATTGAAAATTTTGCAGGGACAGAAGTCACAGAATGGAATTTTTAGAGGGAAAGAAATTGAATTTTTAGAGGGGAAACAAATTGAAAGTTTTTTGGGGGAAAGAAATCGAAAATTTTTGACGGTGAAATTTTTGATGGGAAAGAAATTGAATTTTTTTTGGATGGTATAGAAATTGACAATTTTGAGGGGAAAGGAGTTATGACCTGAACCAGGCTTTGGAAGGAAAATAATTAGGAAAAACGAAAATTAAATGATGGACGGGAAAGGAACTTCAGAATGATATGAGGAGGGGTAAGACAGTATTTCGGGAAAACGATGACAAAAATAGATAAAAGAAAAAAGTTCAAAAAACGTATACAAAAGTGAATAAGACAAAAATGGCTATTGCAAAATCGAACCATCCTATAAGCCTACTATAAGCCTAGTATAAGGTAAATCCATAACTTTTTTTTCTTTTTTTTTCCCTTCCCCTGTTAAGATCTAAATTTACAGTTGTCATATTTTATTTTATTTTATTATATTTACAATTTTTATTAACCGCCAGTTCACCCGAAACAGCGTACTGTTCTTACCAGTTTATGCAGTAAGAGCCCCTCGATTCGGGCATGGGCCGGTAGCGAAAGGGGCAGGCCACTTTGAGAAGGCATAGTTGCAGGCTTGCGAGCTTTGGGAGGTAGCTTCCTAGACGTAGGCTCAAACGTGGGCGCATGTGAGCTGGTGGTTTAACTGCCGGACGTGGGAACGAGGAATGAAACTTGGGCCCATGTGAGCTGGGAGGTTAACAGTTGGACGTGGGAACGAGGAGTGAAAATTGGGCCCATGTGAGCCATGCTGGTGGGGTGAAGGCACCAAGCTATAGGGCCTTGTCCACTGCCCTGGTCCAGGGCTTGATTCAGGGGCTCTTTCCAGCACCAACGTACAGACCTGCTACAGTGGCATAGTCCAGGGCCTGATACAAGGCCCGATTGCGATCAAAATGCAAAAAATTCCAAGCACCCTCCAGGGGCTGATCCAAGGCCTGACCCAGGGCCCTGGTCTAGCACCAACCAACAGGGCCTGGACGGCCTCATTCTGATCAGAATGAAAAAATTCCAGGCAACCTTCAGGGGCTGATCCAAGGCCTGATCCAGGGCCCTGGTCTATCGCCAACCTACAGGGCTAGCTGGTCTGGTCCAGGGGCCTGATTCAGGGACTGATCCAACACCAACGTACAGACCTGGTCCACTGGCATGGTCCAGGGCATGATTCAGGGAGTGATCCAGCACCAACGTACAGACCTGGTTCACTGGCATGGTCCAGGTCCTGATCCAGCACCGCGCTAATGGGTCTTATCAACTGGATTGGTCCAGGGCCTGATCAGCACCAATCTAGAGGGCCTGGTCCACCGGATCGGTCCAGTGCCTGATCCAGTGCCTGATCTGGTACCTGATCCAGCACCGATCTATGGGGCCTGGTCCACCGGATCGGTCCAGTGCCTGATCCAGTGCCTGA